GGGGGTCGAATGACCCTTTCACAGGGGCCGCCTGATTCATAACAGTAGCAAAATTACAGTGATGAAGTAGCAACGAAAATAATTTTATGGTGGGGATCACAACACAAAGAACTGTATTGAAGGGTCGCAGCATTAGGAAGGTTGAGAACTACTGTTGTAACCTGTCATGCATTAAATTGTGCTCCTACCCCAAAGTATATGTAAATTTGGCTAAGCCATGATTCTCAGTGGCTTATTGGATATATAATTATGTAATTCAGCAGTTATGTAATTATCCGATCATTCCTATGATTGATCTGATATGACCAACAATTTTAAGGGGACTAAGGTGGGATGTCCCTGTGGGTTTCTGAGACTATTTATGAGAGCAGAAGCCTCATCCTTTTCCTGAGGAGCGATGGGTGGTTTCAAACTATAGACCTTGCAGTTAGCTGCCTAAGGCCTGATGGTGTAATGGTTATGCATTGGGCTAATAACTCCAAGGTCAACAGTGCAAAACCACAAGCTACCCCTTAGGAACAAGATGAGGCTTTCTATTCCTATAAAAGCTACAGTCTCAGAAACCCACCTGGGCAGTTCTCCCCTGTCCTCTAGGGTCACTATGAGTTGAAATGGACTCTATGGCAGTGAGTTTTGAGGGTGGGAAGTAATATTCTTACTCAGGTCACTGAGTAAGATGGGGGATGTGGGCTGGTTGGAGGGGAACATTCCCTAGGCTCCTGCCCCAACATGGGTATGAGAGCAAGTCTCTGCGACATTAATGATGCTCTAGGACTCCAGTCCACCTGCTCCCCAAAGGCCTCTACCCTGCCAAATTCTTCATCTTGTCTAGGGGCCCTTGGGGACCTGATACTGATTTCTGCTGCTCCATCTGGCCCATATTGAGCCTGCCGGATCTGGATTTCCCTTTAGACACTCTTTCCCCGAGGTACCACAATCCCACATAAGGATGCCACCAGTGACCCCTCACTACAAGATGGCACCACAGGGAACCATCATGCAGACCCTTACCCGTGGTGCAGCCAGATAAACAGACATCTGTAGAGTTGCCTCACCAGCGGCTCAAGATCCTAGCTTCCCTTCCCAGATTCCATAGGCTTCTGGTCATACAAGTCAATGCCCTCACCCCCAACTTGTGGGTCTGCAAGTTGCTAAAAACCCAGGGCCTCCGTTTTTCCCACCTGCAGTTGTAAAGGAGGGAGGGGAATGAGGGGCAGGCAGACTAACCCCCAGTGAATGAAACTCACATAGGTCTCCACTGACACCAAGTAATTCCTCCATGTTCCCTCACTCACTCCTTTGCTTACCTTCTCTGTAGCTGCCACTTCAAACTTTCTCCTCCCCCACCCCCAGGCATTCAGCCTCCTCCTTCACACAGGAGATATTGTCAGAAGCATTTGCCTGCATCTTCTGGTCCTCACCTCCAGCCTGGGTCCAATCCACTCCCTCTCCACCTCCCCCCTCCTTTTCCTGAATCTAAGACTGCTCTCCCTCCACTGGCATGTTCTCACCCGATTTAAATGGACTCGACATTTTCATACCAAAATGGGAGAAACAAACACCTCCACAGCCTCCCTTTACCTCATCTGTAGGCAGGTTCTTTCTTCGTTGCCAGGGAATTCTTGATGCCTCTCATTAGCCACCAGTCTTTTGGGACCACCTCTGCAATGGCAGCTACTAGATCTGTCTCCATCTTTTCTGAGCCAGACTCACATGTTAACTGGTTCTGTCCTCCTCAAATTGAATTCTATCCCTCCAAAATTGGTATTGGAATCCTAGCCCCTGTACCTGTAAATATGATCATTTGGAAGTAGGTTTTTTAAATATTAGGTCATTCCTGAGTAGAGTGGGTTATAATCATTTGAGTTCTAGAAAGAGCAGCAAAGACAAAGGCACACAAATAGGGAAAGACAGATGCTTTGTAAGCAATCCCTGCAAGCCAAGAACAAATCTAGGAGTCCCTGAGAATACTGACAAGGACAACTGTGATGGCCACAATTTAGACTTTCAGTCTCTTTTGTTACAGTAGCACAGGAACTAAGATACTTTTACTTTTCACTTCTCAAAGGATTTATAAAGACTGAACATCACACCCCTCTCCCCAGAAGAATTTACTTCAGAGGACAGCACTGAACCTACAGCTCAGGGAGAGGGACATGTCTGATCAGAGCACAAGGGAGCAAAGAGGGAGGAAGAGAGTGGTCCACCAGCCTTGAGGACGATACCCTGCTCAGAGCAACCAATGCAGAGAGGACCATATGGCCGGCCCCACAACAAGACACATCCCTCACTGACCCATATCCCTAAGGTGGACAACACTGGAGACACAGTGTGGGAATTACGCTCAATCTGACCTCATCACACCGAGGCAAGACACTAAGGGTGTGCAACAGAACAGTAAGGGGAACAGAACGAAGTCCCCGGGGATTACCAAAAATAGACTTTGGGGCCAGAGTGTGGCACCCCATCAGACTTGACCGGAAAACACTCCTAAAGGTCAACAAACAGACCTTGAACTATTTACAGGCTTTTCTGTGTCATTGTGTTTTTTTGTTATTTTGTTTGCTTTGTTTTGCTCTGTCTTGCTTTTGTGCATATTACTATCTCCGCATGTCTATCTAGATAAGATAGGCAGAATAAACACTCTGGAGGAGAAAACAACTGGACTGATGGTTCTAGGAGGACATGGGAGAGGGGGAGCTGGGGCAAAGGAAGTGGTGTTAACAAACTCAGGGACAAGTGAGCAAGTGATCCAAAATCGGTGGCAAGGAGGGTGTAAGAGGCCTGGTAGGGCTTGATCAAGGGCAATGTAACCGAGAGGAATTATT